AGTAATAGTTTTAGAATGTCGTTAAAATGCCATTAACTCACATATTACAAGATTGTGCTATGATATGTAGTTAAAGATATTTTAAAGCCTTCAATGGCATATATCAATATAGAATTATTTTCCCATTACGTGTCATGCTTGACAACACAACATAATTTTATTATATACACAGTTGGTGACAATTTATAGAGGGAGGTAATATTTTGGATAAAGAAGTCGTTTAGTACCACTTCCAAAATGGCAACTTACTATTTGAGTACAATTTTTAAATTATACGCGTTAACCTTAATAATTTTATTCCAAACTCGAGAAATTGCGATGGTGACTTGTAAATTCAAAAATATTTACTGTGAAAGTTATAATAAGACTGCGTATGAGGTTACTAAGTGTCTTATTGAGCCGTACTCGAGGTGGAGAAATACGATTTCAGTTGGTGCTCGACTTAAGCAATCAGTCAAACAATTGTCCGTAAGTAGGAAAATTGAAGATTCATATAGAATATAAAATACATTTGTTATTCTTACACCAAAACTCTAGATCCATGCCAAACTCTTTAAGCGTTTCAATGGTTGGAGACCTTTTTTATATGATTTCAAATTTGATGCTTGTAAATTACTTTTAATTCAAGAGAAATATCCCATAGCGGCACTTTTTTGGAAAAATGTTAAAAGTTTCACGAATATTAACTCCACCTGCCCTTTTATTGTAAGTAGGATCTTTGATTTAATCATGAAGCTATTAAATATTTCTATAATCGCAATATTGTTCAAAGGGCGATGTTTGGATGGAAAAATTTATGCCTTTGAATGAGACCATCAGACTGCCCATTTCATTTGGAGAATATATGCTTCACCTTACTTGGTTTGCAAACGGCAAAATGACTGGAGTGACTAATGGCTCAATATCATTTACCGAATTTTAAAAATAAAATTGTGTAACAGAAGAATACTTAATTCTGTAAATAATGCTTAATTTCAATTAATATACATTATTTGCTGAAATACATGTTTATGTCTTAAGAACTTAATTTCAAATGTATATGTTGATCAAAAATATCAAATTTGGGAACATATTCTTTCATACATCTTTTTTTAAGATAGGATTTAATATTAAAAATTTGGTTTTTATATTATACTAAATATTATATTATATAAATATTATATATATATTATTATTATATATAAATAACATTCTTACGTTTTACCATAGGAATTCTACTTCTACTTCTACTTCGATCCTTGGTTTCTGGTATATTTTTGAACAAATATGCTTTATTCAATTGTTTATTAAAAATGAATTTTAACTAGTTATGTATTGAGCGTTATTATTTATCACCTTTTGCCATTTTCAGATAGCTTATTAGATAAATGTCTTAACAAGAAAATGTATCCTGAAATGCGTTCGTTTAATATAATCGTATTAGTGTTGACAGATATATGGTAACAACACCATCTACCGAGTAAAAACCACGAATACTATGTATACTATGTAGTTACAATAATATACGCTCAGAGTTTACTAGAAAATTTTTGTGAAGAAAGGTTCATGCGATGATTTTTTACGACTTTCGACGTGGATTAGCAGGATAAGAGTGCATCGAATACATCATTTTTCTTCTACATTTGGCGATGAAGCTCCATCTTTTGCCACTGTGAAACATTGGTACAATGATTATAATCGTGGCCGCAGTTAGTTCACTGACGAAATACTTGAATGTCATCAGAAATCAGTTATTGTGTCAGAAAATATTGATGCCATGCAAAAACTGATAATGCAGGATCGTTAAGCGACATACTGTGAGATTGAGGGAATCTTAGGCATTAGTTCCACCAGCATATATAAAATATTGCATGATCATTTAGTCATAAGAAAGGTTTGTTTTCGTTGGATACCCCATCATTTGACAAAATTTCGAAAAGATGCTCTTGTCGATTGATGCATACAAATGCTCAAGAAATACAATGACGGTGCTTCAAAAGGCGTATATGAGTATAAGATTGTAACAACTGACGAATCATGGATTTATGCTTAAGAGCTGGAACGTAAACAGCAGTAGACTGTATAGGTGTGTCAAGATGAACCAAATCCAACAAAAGTTGTTCGCACTCGAAGCAATTCAAAACAAATGGTCGCTTGTTTTTTTGGGAAAACTGGTCATGTGGCAACTATACCAACTAGACCATTACAGAAACGTAAAACGATCGATTCCAAATAGCATACAACCATTTGTTTACTGGAAGTCTTCAGTGAAATACGGAAAACAAACAAGTGCCGTCAGATCATTCTTCATCTCTATCAAGACAATTCGAGTGCACATCGAACAACCGACTATTTGAACATTCAAAACATCGAATTGATAGGTCATAAAGAAATGTCTGTATCATCATCTGGGATGTTGGTATTAGTTACTTTTTTATGAACCACATCGCACACAATATATCTCTAGCTATCATTTTTTTATCGCAGAGTTTCAATAAGAAACTCTTATGTTTCTTATGTTTTTTGATTCAGTAGTGGCTAGTCGGTTAACATTCCTAATCTGTTCTTCAATAAGCCCATCATTAATCTGTTCTTCGATAGATTAATGTAGAACTCAAATTTTTTACTATAACAGTTGCCTAACAGACACCACAGTGTAAGACTTGAAGCCACTAAAACCACCTCTTAGGAATGAATGGAGAAGATTTCCACAGAATTGAGGAAAATTCATTCCAGTGATCAGGGGAGAGAGATGAGAACAGATAGAAGCCAAACAGGTATTTCACTTGCAACATTTTATATAGCATATGAAATCCCTATACCATATGTATAGGGTACAAAGGTTCATATAACAGAGAAATCTGCTTAAATGATGTGGTTATAATTGCGGTTATATTATTATTATGCTTTCAACAGTGAATTTTAAATGTCTTTTTAATATTAATTTTGGAACATTACAAATTACTAAATTATGTTTACCATATGTAAATTACATTTTAATTGGTCTTGTTTTTTTTTTATTCAAATCACATAAGTTCACTTCGGTAGGAATGTGAACGATTTTATAGATTCAATTTGTAAAATGGCACGAGTATTACGCTTATCGCTTCTATACTTCTACTGGGTTTTGCTTAATTTAACTGTTGAAGTGTTTAGTGCTTCCTGCAAATTTAAAGGTCTTAGCTGTGAATCCTTAAATAAATCCAAAATTGAGTTTAGATATTGTCGTATAGAGCCTTTTTCAAATTGGTTTAATACCCTCAACATGGACGGAAAATTGAATGAAGTTATTAAAAAAGTAACTGTGAGTATATCGAATAAATTTATTAAAAACACACTGATCTGAGTTCATATTTTTTAAAATATGAAATATTTTTTAAAATTTAATAGGTGCGCGTAAAACTCCTAAAACGGGAAAATGGCTGGAAACCATTTCTCTACGACTTTACAGTAAACGCTTGTAAATTTTTCCAAGCACGGTATAAATATCCTCTAGCTGCATTCTTTTGGAATACCATTGAACCTTTTACGAATATAAATCACACATGTCCTTTTGATGTAAGTTTAAAAAATTTATTGTGATTTTTCATTTTCAGTGTGAATAGCCATAAAAATTTTTGATCATAGGTATATCGAGATCGACATAAAAAACTAATTCCTTTTTATGCCGACCTCGATATATGATCAAAAATTTTTATGGCTTTATGATATTGATTAATGGATGTGCTCTTTCTTGTAGCATGATATTTTGGTAAAGAAATTCATTCTTACAAACGACAGTATTCGATTGTCTATCCCTTATGGTGAATACATGGTGGACACTTTCTGGATTGCAAATGGTAAACCAACGGCGCAAGTAAATGCATCAGTCTCATTTACTGAATTTTAATTTAATAAAACATTTTAAAAACCAAGCAATTTTAAAAATTACATTACTATAAGTTTTATAACTCTACGCAGGGTCTTTAAAAAAATCTAGTTCAAATTTAAAAAAATTAACTAAACTTAATTAAAAACTTAGACGAATATTTTGTATTATCATTTTTAACATGACAGTTTGAGCTGAATCAGTGCTTCCCTAATCATAACATATTCCTCTATCTTTCTTTATTTTAAAAAATCGAATTGCAAATAAACGACAAGTCTTTTTTTCTTCATAGTATTATTTATAGTATTTTTAAATCAGTAAAAAAAATATCAACCTATTATTGCTTAAGCCGTAATGTATTCCTAATATTCTTAGTCGGTAAATACAACGTCGAATCCATATTTTTGAGACCGTCTTCACCACTTGGTACTCTGACAAATCTTGATATGCTGCTCTTTCAGCTGGCATTAATACTACGTGACTCAAATACGCTGAGATTTCATATACTTTATAATGTTTTGGAACTTTATTAATTTTATATTTCAACATTGTAGCGAATTTGAAATGAGTCATCTGCTTCTATTATAGTGTCTTAGATCCTATTATTCTAACTTATTCTTTACATCTTCATTTCAATATTGTATATCAGGATCTACGCTGTCACTGCTTTTCAGTGTTTATACATAAAAATGGGACTAATTAAGGTTAGACCCGTTAATTAGACCAAAAAATTTTAATACATGTAAAGGTAGTCGAATGCATTAATATATTTAATCAACAATTATTTAATTTTTTGATTAATTAATATTTTTAAGATCAAGTATCAAGGATTGCATCTCGTGCCCTGCCAAATTTGATGCTCAGAGTCAGCGTTCATCACTGATCATGAATTGTACTATATGTTCACACTTGCTGTGAAAGTTCATAAACAAATTCACGTACAAAAAATTATCTATAAATAATTAAATGCAAGAAATAATTCCAAGACCACTGATGATGAGTATTTCCCAATACTCGAAACAGCTCTTTGATCAGCCAAAAATTCAATTAATTAAAACAATATAAAAATAATTTTTGTTGTAGTTCAGTACTTTTCGAAATCTCTCTATAAAAAATAATAATAATTAATTATTGTCTATTGTAAAAATCAATTTTATTTCATCATTTATTTACAGAAAAACTACAGATCAACGAATCTGTCTCTACACATATTTACTAAACGTATTAGTTTCTAATATCGATTTTATTATTTTTATTAAGATTTTTTTTTGTAAGAAGCAAATAATAAGGATTATTTTGCATTATGTAAATAATCACGTTTTTGTCAACAATTAGACATAAGTATATGAAGCAATTTGTCCCATAAATATAATCGATTCCTTATGCTTAATTGCGAAGACGAAAGGATGATCTGCGTTGATTTTTTTGTTGCTTGAGAAGAAACTTTTCAAACCTAAGAAAAAACGAACATATTTAAATAGTCAACAAATTTCCTTTTTAAAATTTTTCCATCTTACCTCCAGATTCTAAAGGTTGGTCCACACCATCCTCAGTTACTTCTACGTGTGCTTTATGATTAGCACTGTTTATATAGTGACTAACAAACATACGATATAAATTACCAAAATCACCTTCGCGTGTGAACATAGTTCTGACACCCAACTGTAAATTTATTATTTAGTATAGTTTAGATATTAAAATTACTCTTACTTACTTTCTGGAATGGTTCCACTAAGTTAGTACCAAAATGTACGCTGAATTTTGGCAAATTAACTTCAACCTTCTGTACGCTCAAACCGTCATCGATTAACGAAACCAAATTCTTACCAGCCAAACCACGTAATAAATTTTGCAATCCATCCCGTTTATTCGGCAACAGCAAAATCATTGAGAAATCTGGGTTTTGATATGGCAATTCCACAACTTTAGCATCCAAATTACTAAATTCTCCATATTTGAAATTATTCAATGTCCACATGGTATCAACTTGATAACATAGTCCATTTCCACCACAGAATGAACGTTTGGAAGTTTTGCTAGTCTTGAATGCTTTTTGCCAAGGCGCACTATAACTGATACCATTAACCAGGACTCCCTCTGTGCGATCATCCAATTGTTCAGCATTGATAATGTCAAGTATTTTGCCATTAGTTTTCGTTTCCATTGCTTTGTTTATGCGATCGGCTGTACGCTTATTGTAGGGTGGATGGAAGTCAGCTTTTTCCACATTGGCATCAAAGTTACGTTGTGCGATATCTCTGAAACTACCTTTGAATTCCAAATTCTCGTTGATATAAAAGTTTGTGGCCAAACGTATACTATTCTCTCGTCCAAATGTTTGCTGGAATTCACCGAAACGTCGTACAACCACATCAGCATCAGAGGAACCTAAACGTAAGCCAGATTGCATTTCAGTAGCGGTCTTGCCCTTGGCCCCATAGTGTGCCAATGCCATACTGATCTGTATGGCTGCGGGTGATATGACGACATTATCGCTCAACTTTTCTGTGGCGATGGCATTGAAAATATCAGCAGCAAATAGATTTCGTTCAATAATTTGGGCAGCAGTGCTGGTTATGGTAGCAGCAAAGCCGACAGCACTGATTGAAATCAGTACAATAACAGCTGAAATTTTATATTTATTTAAACGAATTTTTATTGATTTGAAATAAAAATATTTCGCCTATTAACATTTTTTCTACTTACCTAATTGATATCTCATTGTTTATTTATGAGTTAAGTACTAGTAAGTTTGTGTGTGAGTTTATATATATTATATAGCAATTTCGTTGTTCGCAGCAAATAAAATTTAGGTTGCTTAAGATTCGAGTTTCGAGACGCAACTAAAGTACTTGGGTGATTTTCTTAGTATTAACACATGAAACTATAATTTTTAGAAAATAATGATCTAATATGGTATTATATAGCATCCAATACACTGCAAACAATTTCACCACAATTTTTATTTATAAATTATTTTAGTT